CAATCTACTTGTACAAATACAAAATAAGAATACAGAAAAAGAAACGAATTACATTTTGTAAAGCAGGAAATGACGTAGATTCTTTTAATCGTTTTTCATTCGTAAAAAAAGAGAAGGTATTTCAGATAATCGACTTCAAGCGAAAAGCATTACCATATCTCGGGATATCGTTTCACCTCCTGTTAACAGGCCCGTAGCAACGGTTTCAGGGGGGGGGGGGGCTTCCCAAAAAAAATCTGACAAGCACGAAAAAAAAAACCCTATACTGACCAAAAAATTGAGGGAGCCAACTGGTATAAAACACGCTTAAGGAATTTGAAATGAGCCGGTCGATTAATATTAATTCTTAATTCTTTCATTCTTATAATTGAAATACAGAAATTTGACAATATTAATAAAATATTTTTGAAAATCATAAGTAACCTATTCTAAAGAACGAGGGCGCTTTTGATTGGCATTCGGCAGGAATCTGGGCGCACTTGAAAAGTGAAAATTTCTTTGCTCTGTCACATGAAGTTTTAGCATTCTTTTGTTGTATCGGGTTCCTATGAAATAGGAAAGGGAAATAATTTCCCGATATTGTATTTTGATTTGCTAAAAAAGAACTTAAAAGTTGGCTAGATGAGTCATTTGGTACAAAATGTTACATTTTTAAACACGTTTTTCTAAAAATTTGCTATCTCTGGGTCATCTCTCCATGATTTTGAAACTTTATTTGTGTGCATTTTAATTCAAAGAAACTAACAAACATTTGTAAAAAATGGAGAGAAGACCCAGAGACGATGAACTTTTTCCAAAAAAATTCCAATGTTTTAATGAGGTGCTTCATTATCACTTTAGAAACCTTAAAGTGTGTGTAGAGGTGATAGCTCAGTAGTAAGCGTTACCCGTCCAGTGCAATGAAAAAGAAATATTTTTGGTTCGATCCTCGCATGGAGCGTTAATATTTTTTTTAGTACAAACGTACAATCAATACTTTTGTCAGTTTAATTTTATGAACTGATTTATTTTCAAATGGATAAATTCTGGTTCTGTTTCAGCGAAAGCAATTCTTTCAAAATACTGATACTTTAATATATACAAGTATGTACTTGTAATTGCATTTAACTATACCCTATATATGTATTTATTATTTATGTGAAGCGTTACTAAGTTTTAGATGTAGTAAATATTAAGATAAGCGGACTGATATATTAAATTTGGCAAAGTATTTCAAACTAAATGTAAAATTTTCCCATGTGCGTAACTTTGTAAAGTAGCTGTAAAGTATATCCAGCTGTGGTCAACCGACCAATTCGTAGACATTTAAACTATAAATGTTTCGTACGTCTTATTCCTGCAGATCACACGCCAAACACGCCCATCTTCTTCGCAATAATTTAATTTTTTAATTTTTTTTTTAAAAAGCTATAATATGAAATGAGCTGAAAAATATGTCAAAGTCTTATCTTTCATGACTTACAGGTTTGTTTTAAAGATTCAAATCTGAATCTTGATGAAAGTATGTACGAAACGGTCTCCGAAACACTCTTTGCTTAAATATATGAGCATAACAAAAAAAGTATGCAAACGCATAAAACAGGTGAATTGCACAAGTATCCCAAGGAGTACGAACCTACGATCATTATCCAGATATGTGAGGAACGTTGCAACGCATATAAAAAGGGGGGGGGGGAACTTAAATATTTTTTTAATAAATACAAAACCTCGAAACTCCCCACATCGAAAATCCTTTTCATTAAGAAAGTTGAAGGGGGGGGGGGCAATTCTCGGTTTCGTTCCTCTCCTTTTTTTAAAATGAATTATTATAAAAAAGGTACATCTACTGTAACAAAAAGAAGTACTCAGTATGTAAGTGTCTATACGAGGGTGGGGGTTAAAGGTGAGGTGCAATCGCAACTTCTCGGACCTTTCCGACTAGCGGAAAAACAACAAATTTGTTTTTTCCGAACACTGACGGAAAGGCCCGAGATGATGCGATTGAGGTGAGGTGGGGATAGGGGCTTTGAATAAAAATAAATAAATTCAATGCTAAATCAGCAACATATCTACACTATACTGAAAACAGAGGGCTGGTACTAGGACCTGCTGATACGACATGAAATTGTTTTGAATGTATCTCAATGAAATAAAAAGCAGGTAAATTTAAATATGAAGTCAAATAAATTTTGTACTTTCTACCGAGCTTTTCATTAAATGAGGCAATTATGCACATATTTCCCTCCCGCAATATGCATGCAAAATAGCAGAGAATTTAATTATTTTCAATGAACTGTATTGTATATTTGACAACATACTAGGTTTTTTTCTTTCATAGAAAATGTAGGTGAAAAAAGTAACGTCAAATTAATTTTCTAACATCACGTAATCTAACGTCATTTTGACGTTACCGAAATTGACACCAACACCGTGCGCGACGTCAATGTACATGTGTGGTACTTCGATTTGCTTTGTAAAAGTACGAGAAAATAATCAAGAGTTGATTAAGTAAAGTTTATAGTTCACTAAAGTTTTTTAACAACTATATGTATCAAGAAATCGCAACAAACTTTGAAACGTCTTCAGATAAAAACATTCCTGGTACTCTTCTTAGTAAAGAAGCAATAATTTGTTTATTTCTTAAAGAATTTCTTTTCATTACAGGAAAATATTTTATCATCTCTTTCAGGATACACTGTACGTGTAAATCTAATAATAATAATAATACACAATAATAATATTTAGTTTTTAAAAATGTAAGTATTTTTAAGAACTTAAGATCTTAAAATACTCTTTAATCCTAAAGGGAAGTTAAAGCGGTTTAAGTGCACTTTCCGTTATTCATAGATTTATCAATTTATTCGTTACGTTTTGACGTGGAAACTTAACATCACCAATGACTTTGTGGTGCAACATGCCGTTTCCACTTGCTTGTATGTAACTGTGAGTATGGAAAGTCATTGTATTTTGGGTATATCCGCTCGATATCTCGGACAAAAAGTCAAAATACAACTCTAATGCTGTATTTATCTTCTAACAAGAGCTTGCACTTGGAAAACAGCCCTTTATCATTTTAATAATCTTGTCCTTTTCAGTGTTTGAACATCCATATATAGATTTTAAAAATGAAGAAATATTAATCATGTGTATTACAACATTATTGGTACAATATGATGTAAAGGTGTATACGTACAGCAATATCTTCTTATTATTTATCAAACAGACAATTAGATATTTACGTACAAAACGAAGAACAGGCCCTTAATTTTTTCTGAGTACATGTATATTATTTCGCTATAGTAAAGATGATGGGCGAACAAGGCGAGCACAATGCCTCTAGTGCGACAAACATGAAGGTGAAAATTAAATCTCAATCATAACAAAATTTTCTCTAATATTTCATCGAAAATTAAAGTCTACTTTAAGTAAAATCTCCAAAATTTGCAAAAATCTCACTAAGATTGAAATTATTTGCCTATTAAATAGCATACACACACTAGAGAGGGCAAAAAAGATCATTTTCTCATACTATAACACAATATCTTGATACGAGTGGGCGATTGCTCCATATTTTTCAAAGTTTATCCTCAAAGTTTGCCAAAAAATATACATTTTTTGGTCAACAAAAACATGAAGCAAAGACCCACTTTACCTTAAAAATACACTTTTATGAGACAACATTCGCATCTTTCAGAAAAATACTTGGTTCATTTAGTCAAGGGTCATATCACAAACATGATTAAATGCCACAACTCATCAAGAGCTGTGTAGCGTAGTGGTTAGCGTGTTAGTGTCAAAGGAAAATGATATTCAGTATGGGATGGGTATCGCCAAAAATTTCGTATCGCGATATATCACGATTCCCCCCCCCCCCCCCCAAAGACATCATGATAATAATATGATATTTTTACAAGCAATTTTTACAATGAATTTAAATGAATATTCATAATTTTTCCGAAAAATATGCTGGAAAAACGTAACTTTACTTTTTTCATTTTTTATTGACATTATATCAAGCAATTTTGGATGCTAGAATGCCTTTCTTTTACCCTTTTCAACATTTTTTTTTACACTTTCTGTAATTATAATTTGAAAGATTGAACAAATAAATGAATAATTTTCTGGAATTTATAACTATGTACCTAAATACCGGTATTTTAGTCTCCGTATCACGATACGTATCACGCAATTAAAAATCACGATATACCGGTATACCGATAAAATCGCGCATCCCTCATATAATTTTTTTAAAATAACAGATTAATTTTTGTCGAGAAAATTTTCCTCAGAAAAGTTTTGTTAATCATAATTTCATAAATTTCAATAATGAGAACTTTACTCTAGATACTACATTCACAAATTGATTATGATTTTTATGCATCTGAAGCTGTATAGGCAGCGCGCCTTGTTCACCCATCTCATTTTCCTTAAGATGCTGGTTGCCTCCCCCTCCACTTTTTGATGTTGTAAAGTCGAACAGTGGCAAATGACATGATTTGGACACTAAATTAGCTTCTGTTTTTTTTGTGTTTTTTTTTGCTTGTCAGATAATTTTTGAAGTTGCCCCCCCCCCTTTCCCCCACTTTTGGTCAGTTAAGGGTTGTTTTTTTTGGAGGGGTCGGGTGTCAGATTTTTTGGGAAGTTGCCCCTCCTCACTTTTGAAACCGTTGCTACGGGCCTGGAAGATGAAAATTTCTTGTTTGGTGTTGGTACACGAATATTTGTATTGTCATGAGTACATGTATGTTTAGTACAAAAGTTGTGAATGTTCCGATTTTTAGCCATCGGTTTTTCTTCCTTTTCAAATTTGTTAATGAAATTTATAGTGTACTTTATCTGAGCTTTTTTCACATTAAAACTATTCTTAGCGTATAAGTTCAACGAGAAATATTTTTAGCCGAAAAATTGAAAATTATGTGGGGATTTCTTCTATCTGATATACAGTTTATAAAACTTGAGGACTGAAGTTCAATGAAAAATAATTCAGTCTATAAACTGAAAAATGTATATATTTTTTTTAGTAAAGCTGAATACTTGCCATACAGTTTTCACAAGACGGATTATTGTGGACAAACCAAAAGTAACAACACACTAACATTATTGCAGTTTTATTTCAAAATCAGCCTTAAACGTTTTCAAAATGTTCTCGTAAGCGGCTGGGGAATGTGTAAAGTTTCAAAGGACGTTCCAGCGAACTTGATAATTTAACACGTTTAGTTGGACTACATGTACCTGCGATTCAAGGCATGGCAAATCCCGGAAAGAATGGTTTTTCAAATATAACACAAAATGGGACGTTTCAAAATACAGGAGTTTCAAATACAAGCACGACCGAAAATATACCCGATCAGGAAAATTCCAACGGGAGACCAGTTCTGAGAAGAGATGCCCAACCTGCTAATGTTGATATTAATTTCGATACGTCGGCCCTGTTTGGCGAAAACTCGTTGAGTGATATTCTTGGACATGGAGAAGCCAAAGAAAACTTCGAAGCTCTTCTACAATCAGGTATGTGAAAACTACGTCATTATATTTCTTCACAGTGTTTGTACATGTAAATTACTCATTTTTGTTTAATTTCATGCCGTATAGTTCGTTACTGCTTTTACCAATTTTATCCCTTAAAGGTCAAGGGGAAGATGGGAGTAATGTTAAGAAATTTTTAGAAAGTGCTGGTATCCCCGCCTCTGCAATGGAGCCCACTCAACAAGAAGGAGGTATGACACAATTTTTAGGTTACCTGAGTCACTCAGACCTATGATCTATTGCGATATGTTTTTGTCAGTCGTTGTGCATTGTTAGTTATTTGAATATTTTCAGCTTCTTCTCTGGAACTGCTGATCTAAATTCAACCAATTTTGGCAAAAAGCATCTGTGATAGGGCACTAAAATTGTGAAATTCATGGCCCCTTTTCTCTAAGGCCTGTGCGGTGGGGCTAAAACCATCAAAAGTAATGCAATCTTTAAAAATCTTCTTTACTCCTGGACATCAAGGAGTTGAACTGTTGCTATGGTTGTAATAAGCATTGATTTCTCTACCAAAATTGTAAAATTCATGGCCCCAAGGTCAGGGGTTCTGGAGTTAAGGTGGGATCTATTGATCATATATTGTATAATGCATAAATTCTTCAAAAATCTTCTTCTCTACTTCTGTATATTTAGCAGAAAAACTAGATGCATGGTTATGGTGAGTATTTGTGCCTCAATTTTAAAAAAAAAATTAAAGCATGATCATAACTCTTCTAAAGGGGAGACTCTACTGATTATATAGTGAAAATACAGTATTTCTATGAATGTCTTCTTCTCTGATCCTGGGTATTAAGGACAAAATAAGTGCATGGTATAATAGAAAATAGTACCTCTTACAAAATTGTGAATTGATCTGGGGTTCTGGTGTTAGGATGGTGCTCTATTGATTACATAATATTTACATTTCCAATGTCTTTGTCCGAGATAAAATTACAAATTGTAAAAATACTTTATTTCTACATAAATTTACTGGTTAATCCAAAAAATAAGACAGTTATTCCTTAAGTGAAATTGCATTAATTCTTTTAAAATAATAATCTTCTTCTCTGCTTTTGGATATTTAGCCGATAAATTAAATACATGGTCATGATGACCAAGTGTTCTTCTTTCAAAATTGTGAATATCATGGCCCCTGGGTAAGGGGTTCTGGGTGATATGACAGGCTCTATAGATCAGGTGGTAAAATGCATAAATTCTTCAAATTTCCTCTTCTCTGTCCCTTGGTATTTAGCAAACAGACTAATTTGGGTGAGCAAGAATGCCTCTTCCAAAATTATGAAAGTCATAGCCCCTGGGTCAGGGGCTGTAGTGTTTGGTTGGGGCTCTTTTGATTACATGTATATAGTGAAAATGCATTATTCTATGAAAATCTTCTTCTGTGCTCCTGGGTATTTAGCAGATGAAGTAAGTGCATTGTAGTGATGAGTAAATGTGCCTTTTCTTAAATTGTGAATTTCAGGAACCTGGGTCAGAAATTTTGGTATTAGAGTGGGGCTTTGTTGAATCTATTGTGAAAATGCATTTTTTTCCTTAAAAAATCTTCTGCTCTGCACCTGGGTAAACAGAGTACAAAAATGTAATAAGCCAGGGTAATTTTTCCACATTTGTGAAATTCTGGAGCTGACCAGCTAGGACACTGTTAATTTGTTTTCTTCTGAGAAGTTATTCCCCTTTGCTATTCACGTATGATAATTAATTACTGTAAATAATGTCATTAAAAAGTCAATTAAATAAGAGAATTATACAAGAATTTTTATAATGTATAATACAAAAAGAGCTTTTGTTGTTTTTAATGGTCACAAGGACTTGTAAATAATACATATATGGAACTGAGACAAAAATAGCTTATCTTTTTTCATGTATTAAATGTTCTTCAAAGACCAAGAGAAGCCATTGTGAAAAGGAATGCAAGGAGTTCAATAATAGTGCTCAAACACTATTGTTTTGTTTAGTTTGCATGGTGATAGTGACAAATGGGGACAACTACAGGCAAGTAGATAGATCTACTCTAAGATTTTTTATAATGAGTACTACACTAATTAATTTTTTGATTCATGATCATCCTTTCTCTTGCTCTTGGGCAACATGGCCTCATCTATCAGTTTATTTCATTTAAGTTTTACTTCTATGGATCCTTTACATTGTTGTATTATACTCAGGTGACCATTAAGGCCTTTGGGCCTCATGTTATCTCACCTGAGCTGAAGGCTCAAGTGAGCTTTTCTGATCAAAATTTGTCCATTGTCTTCTTCTCCAGAACCACTGGGCTAATTTCAACCAAACTTGCCACAAAGTAATCTTGGCTGAACGAGATTCAAATTTTTTTCAAATGAAGGGTCACACCTTCTTCCAAGGAAAGATAATTACGAATTAGTGAACATTTAATGGCATCATTTAAAAATCTTCTTAAAAACCTGGAGTGGGCCAGAAAATATAAAACTTATGTGGAAGCAATTTCAGGTAGTGTAGATTCAACTTTGTTCAAATCATGACCCCAAGGGATAGGGCAGGGCTGCAATGGGCTATCAAAGTTTTACAATGGAATACATAGGAAAAATCTTTAAAAAATCTTCTTCTCAAGAAAGCGAGGGGGGGGGGGAGGGGGGGGGGATAGAAGATAAAACTTATAAGAATATAATCTTTAAAAATCTTCTAAAATCATTAATAGTCAAAGAAATATTAAAGCATCCTCAGTTAGTATAATTTAAAATTTGTTTAAATCATGCCCCCTCCCCCTCCTTAATAAGTTGGGACCACTTGTGTATTTAAACTTTTCAATATTGAACTGATTTCTACATTTTCCTAGCCAAAGTGCTCAGGTGAGCGATGTGGCCTATGGACCTCTTCTTTATATAAATTAATATCACTGTGTACATGCAGACCAGTATTATCACCAAAATTGAAAAGTTTTCTACCAAAAGACATTTATCTTCAAATGAAAATTTCAATTGAAACTTATTTATTGAAATTGTGTCATTTCAGGTAACCCTTTTGGTATGGGAGGTTCCTTGGGAGGAATGTCAGGAATGGGAGGAGGGGGTGGAATGGGTGCTCTTTTAGGTGGTGGAGGAGGTTCCATAATGGGAGGAGGTGGAGGGGGGTATATACCTCAATCAGCAATGTCTGGTTCTGGACTTGGAGGTGGGTATTTACCCCCATCATCCTTGATGCAAGGGAATCAGAGTTTTGCATCAGGAACTCAAACTAGAGCACCTACAATTAACGGAAATGTTGGAGGATACAGCACTCCATCATCTGCTTCCCAAACAAACCAAGAGGAAGAGACAGTCCCCTTAATATCACTCCCACAATTTCAAGGCGGGTATATTCCTCCATCAGAAATGTCACCAGATACTCAAACTAGAATTCCAAAGTCAATGATTTCCCAATATAAAGATAGAAAATTTCCTACAAATGGAATTCTACCAGGTAATATGAAGAGACCAGGAACTCAAGGTGGACACGTGTCTACATCAACCTCCCCATCAAATACTCAGAGTCAATCTGAGGCATCAGGACAAAATGTGTCAGCGAGTACAAAAGCAATGGGAAAAGACAATGGGGGTGTTGGTGCAGCAGGAACAGATGCTAACACATTACATCAGACAAGAAGAACAGACAGTGGTAAGAGGATGTCACATGTCAAAAAGGACAATTTGTTAGCTTTCTGACAGCATATCTATACAAGTCTTATTCTTTCCTTCCTTGATAATAATTGTAATAGGTGATTTTTGGATATGTGAGTACTGTAAATTTCACATTTTATTCATGAGAACTTTATTTTCACATAATTACGCAAGTCTGTCTGCTTGCAAAAATTTCATTCTCGCGTATATTTGTATTAGTAAGGATTATATACAACAAAAACCATAACTGGCGAAAATTTTGTCTCGCTTCTAAATTCCAAATACTGGTATCTCACGAAAATAAGGTAGTGTCTCGAAAATATAGTGATCTACAGTAATTAAGACTCAAGCCCTTTCATTTCTTTTTAACAAATTTAATATTTTTCTTTATACTGTAAACATACTATTCTCCACTGGTCATAATTCCACAGAATTACAATTTCTGTTCAATCCATGGGTAGAAAATTACCTTGATCTCTTGGATTGTCAATATTTGTCGTAAAGTAACACTTAATAAATGCTGTGACCAATTTTTGTGGAAAATTTGTGACCACATTCATAGCATAAATTAATCCCATGCTGAAAAAAATGTGTCTACAGTATTTCAATGATTACTGTGATGTGATTTTTCATTTTATGAAAGCTGGTGGGATACAAGGTTCCTCTGGAGTAGGTGGACAGCCTAGAATGGGTGGGCTCCCAGGAATGAGTGGTCAGCCTGGATTGGGTGGACTTTCTGGAATGAACAGACAACCTGGAATGGGTGGACTTTCTGGAATGAATGCACAGCCTGGATTGGGTGGACTTTCTGGAATGAACAGACAACCTGGAATGGGTGGACTTTCTGGAATGGGTGGTGTCCCTAGAATGGGTGGTCTTCCTGGAGTGAGTGGAAATACTGCAATGAGTGGAATGCCAGGAGGAGGAATGGGAATGCAAGGTTTGGAAAATTTTATCTAGCAACAAATACATAAGTCAGATTTAGAATAGAAAGTTAGACTACTTATAATTATTATTCTAGGCAGTGGACAAGACTATGTTCAACAAATCATGGAAGAAGAGAGGAACAGAGGTATGTTTTATTCAAGTGGATTTCATATAAGTTTATCAATATAGCCCAGTAAACTCTAAATAAAAGACACCACAGAGTCTGCCACATCTGTTTCATATTTGGATATTTTACTGACTATAGATAATAATGGCCAACTAATAACTAAACTTTATGACTAACAGGATGACTTTAGCTTTTCCATTGTCAATTTGCCTTACCTATGTAGTAAATTCCACTATCACCTGCATTTTGTGTTTATGTCTCCCAACTGATTCGATACATGCTCTGAATACGATCAATTTTTAAACCCAGGCAAGCTACCTACAAATAAGCTGATACTGCAAGGATTTCAACAAGCTTTTTTAAAGTCAGCTTCTTAAATTCTACGGTCATTATAATGACCTTGTTGGTAAATACAGCTTATAGTTGGGTCATAGTTTGCTTCACATATTTAATACCATTTGTTACTTATGTCATTGCTTTTATACTAAATTTGACTATGGATTATTCCATTTACCTATCAATACATAGTGCTCACAGCAGGTGTGACTGGCAGACAGGGGATGTGTACCTCTCCTAGGCACCTGATCCCACCTCTCGTGTTTCCAGACTTGCCCCGTTCCCGATTTGTTTTCTGGGTTTATGACATTGATAACTGTTTGTTGTCTTCACCTTTTACACATTATCATGGTTTTTTCTCTTATAATGGGAGACATAGAACAAAGTACCATGGAATCTTCATTGTTTGTGAGGACTCACAAATGGTCACCCTTCTCCAGAATTCACATCCTCACAAAGATCACTGTCCACATATCTTTCCATTCAGTGTTAACAATCATGATGTATGTTAATGTAAGACAAACATGATGTTAAATGTCCCAATATATAGAACATTTATTCTTCCCATTTTATTATTTCTTTTTCTGCAAAATTAATGTATTGAGGTTTAAATTTAAAACAGTTTAAAGTGATTTTGATGTGTAAATATAGGATTTCAATGCTTTGCATTGCTTCTGGTAATTTTTTCTTCACAGCAAATGAGTGTACAGACTCTGTTGGTCAAGGTCTGAATACGATGATAATCCTAGACAATTCCGCAAACATGTATGGGCAAAGTGTTGAACAAGCAAAGGAGTTCATAGAAAGGTTTTTGGAAGGTACTGTATATTCTGTTCATAATTATTGTTCATCTCATTGCATCACAGACTAAAAAAAAATGCCTTGTGTGAAATGATGATATCCTTGTTGTAGGACTAGAGGATAATGCCATGGATTATGGACTGGAGGAAAATGTAGCTTTGATCACGTGTGGTGGCAGTCAGCCAAAGGTTGAACAACACCTCACAAACGAATACCAGTGTTTAAGGAATAAATTGCGTAAGTGATTAATTATGTTCCCTACTTTAAATCTGCTTTTATTTTCTTTTTGATAAGCATATACATCAGTTTTCTAATGAAATATTGATAATAATCATTAGTTAATGAAGTTAAGAGTTGTTGATTCAAATTTTGGACTTCAGATTCTCTGAAATTTAAGAATTTAAGAAATTTAAGAATGTGATAATTGACATTAAGAAAGATCGACAATTGACATTAAGAAAGGAGAAGCAGTCAGGTAATTTAATTGATCCCCTTGGGTTTTTTTTTAATTCTCAGCACCAATTCAAGTACATGGGACCAACAATCTCTCCATAGCCCTCTTCTTGGTTATTGGAGCAATTGAAAGGGGTAAGAAATCTATTAAATGAAGCTCAAAATAAAATTTCAAGTGTAGAAAAAATCTGAATAAAGTGCTATTTTTACAAGTATTTGTTTGTTTTCTTCATCCTCGAGCTCTCAGATACTTTATTTTATAATACCTACATCAATATTAAACCAATGTGTTGAACTCTCCTCTCTCTCTTGGGTTAGTTTCACATGTACATTGATAAAATACATACTGTCAATTCTGTGTTCTAGCCTTTGAGATGATAATTGGTAACCACTCTATTAGGCCACGAATACTGTTATTATCAAATGGCAAGTTTTCGAGCAGGACCAATATGATGGGTATGAAGGGAGCAGTGGATCAATCCCAGGTGAGGCCATTGTAATTTAAAGGATTTCTCGTTTGATCGATTTTAATACTACTTCTTACAGAATGTTTTTCTACACATTAATTCTACACTAAGTTTAAAAAATACTTTGTTACTTGTATTTTTAGCTCACCTGAGCGGAAGGCTCAAGTGAGCTTTTCTGATCAAAATTTGTCCGTTGTCTGTCGTCGTTGTCGTCGTTGTTGGTGTCGTTGTAAACTTTTCACAATTTCATCTTCTTCTCCAGAACCACTGGGCCAATTTCAACCAAACTTGCCACAAAGCATCCATGGGTGAAGGGGATTCAAGTTTGCTCAAATGAAGGGCCGTGCCCTCTTTCAAGGGGAGATAATAGAGAATTTGTGAAAAATGAATAGCATCTTTTAAAAATCTTCTTCTCAAGAACCACAGGGCCAGGAAAGATAATACTCATGTGGAAGCATCCTCAGGCAGTGTAGATTCAAGTTTGTTCAAATCATGACCCCTGGGGGTAGGGTGGGGCCACAATGGAGGATCAAAGTTTTACATAGAAATATATAGGAAAAATCTTTAAAAATCTTCTTCTCAAGAACAGCAAATCCATGATGAGTCCTATTTATTTGGAATCATCCTCTGGTAGTGTAGATTCAAATGTGTTCAAATCATGAACCCCGGGGGTAGGTGGGGCCACAATGTATGATCAAAGTTTTACATAGAGATATACAGGAAAAAATTTTCAAAATCCTCTCAAGAACAGCAAAGCCCTGATTGATCATATTTATGTGGAAGCATCCTCAGGTAGTGTAGATTCTATTTTGTTCAAATCATGACCCCTGGGGGGTAGGGTGGGGCCACAATGGAGGATCAAAGTCTTAAATAGAAATATATAGGAAAATAACTGCAAACCCATGTTAAGTCATTTTGATATGGAAGCATCCTCAGGTAGTTTAACGAGGTTGGCTCCTGAGCTTTTGAGCAGATTCTTATCTTAACCTATATTTCAAAAATTCTGCATAATGTTTTAATTCTTACAATAAATTTGGATTCTACAATGCCAATTTAACTATATTCAGTTAAAACTCCATGATTAAATTCCATACCAAAAGCATTAAGTGAGGAACTATATTTTGTGGCAGAAGGTTTTTTTTAGAAGAAAATGATAATTTTTTCTCTTTTGAAGTATTTAAAGTATGTTAAGTTTGTATTCCTATTTTTACATGAAGTCTGCACACATAGTTATTTTGTGCAGTGGACTGTTTTATACAGGTCCTAAATTATATATTAAATAAACTGTCATGAATTCTATCATCATATTTGATAAATATAGCAAATATATTGTGGAAATGAAGAAAAAAATAGCCCTAATTTAAGCTTAAAATTAACACTATTTTAGTAATATCTAAAAATTAACATCACAGACCCCCACTTTTAATTTTCTTTTCTGAATATATACGATACTTTTAACCATTCTTCTTAAATTCAGTAAAATGTCATTACTTTCAAATGATTTTTTTGCTTGTTAAATTTTCATTCCAGAAAAATGAAAATGTTTGAGTGCAAAAAGGTCAAATAATTGAACATGCGGAGTAATTCGAAAATTTCTTCGTTGTTACAAATTTTAATGTGTCTATTTAAGATGAAATAAGACTGTGTTTGTTCACCATAATTTATTTGAACAAAAAATATTGAAGGAAAAACTTTAAAAATTGATTTATGTGTAAGACGTATTTACAGTACAAAAAGGTCAAACTAAATGCTCTGTAGCGCCAAAAGAAGCGCATTGACCCCAATTTTTTGTTTTGATTTTTAATAAAGCTATGTGTATAAATTCTAAAAATATACTTGATAAAAAATTCTAATTACTTTTGATGGCAGGATCCAACCTCCTTAAATTCAATTTTGTTCAAATGATGACCCCCAGGGGTAGGGTGGGGCCCAATTGGGGATTGAAAATTTTACATAGGAACATATAGGAAAATATCTTCTTATCAAGAACTGAAAATCATGCTTAGTCATTTTGATATGGAAGCATCCTCAGCTAGTGTAAATTCAATTTTGTTCAAATGATGACCCACGGGGCAGTGGGGGATCCAGGAATTTCGTAACGGGGGGGGGGGCAGTAGAGGCAGTGGGTCTGGGGGCTGCATTGAAGCCCCCAGGCCAAAATAAAAATTACCTTTGTTTCCCCTAACGCGACCAACCCAATTAAAACGCGCCGACTGGAAAGTCTTTTTTCCTAAGATTATTCAAATACTTTTTTTTATGTTTATCAACTTCTATAAAATAAAATTCCATCAAATCTGTTTTTAATCAGATCGAATGATTTTGTTCTGTGATTTTCAAGTGTTTATTGGAAACAAAATAGCGCCTACAACATATGGTCACGGAGGGTTAGTTCGTGTTTTAAAAGAAAGGCAACGCATCAACCTTATGCCTTTAGCATATTAGAATCCTGCACTCTTGAAACACTTTGTTTATAAAATATAATATCCAATGACTAATTGAAAGTGTTTGGGTTGTATTTACTAGCCTGTCTTAAAATTAAGGTACTTAGACAGCATGCTTAGGCCCATAGGCCCTCCTCGTGATACCCCTCATGAGCAGACAATGGGCCCACCTTGTGAAAACACCAATCAGTTTCATTGCAATTTATTTGATTTGAGTTTTGATCTTATACACAGTTCATCTATATTCCAATGTTTACTATATGGGGCCATAGGAGTTGTAAATAAGTCTGCATATTTCATCCTAATGAATAGAATTCAAATGTCCTTTATTCCCGCCTTTTAATCATGGGTTAAACTTTGTAACTTTGACATTGTGTAAGACATGTTATCATTTTTAGATATTGTTTGCCTCAATTAAATATTGTTAACATGCTTTTTCCAAATAGATTTGAAATTATGTTACAAGCTTCCTGAGACGTCCGTGTATTTTTCTTTAATAAGGCCCTGGAAGATTGGTTGTTTCTTTGATTTGAATCTATTTGATAATTGTTGGGACAACAACATTTATTTAAACATTTGTCTGGTGAAGGACTCCAAATTTAGACGTGTACACGGCACTTAAAGCCATGAGCAGTGAGGATTGTTTTTCCCGTGCCAGTATCTAATGCGTAACTGGACCTAAGTTTTTACTGTGCCATTGGAAGAACTGCTCTCAACATCCCACATTAGGATTTGAACCTGCAACTTAGAAATAGCTCCTTACATCGAGACTCTAAAACGAAATGCTCTAGCAGCACTGCACAATTCGAAGCCTTTGAAAAAGTACAAAGCAATGGAAGCTGATAGTAGGTATAAAAAAATACTCTGGTGTCCAGTCTTTGCGTACCAGAGAATCTTTTAAACAGATGTATTCGATTTTTAACAAATTTACTCTGGTATGAGATGGTTTGATTGAATAATAGTTGTGAATTAATTTACCTTAAATGTTGAGTTTAATCCGCATTTGTATGGTATTCTAGCTGTTTACAAATCACTTTTTTTTGTACTTAACTTATTTATAAAGATGTCATTCCATTAATTTTAAGGAGGTATTTTCAAAGCTGCTGTCAAAAAAAATTATTTGCCTACCTACCTACCCATCTTGAGATTTAAGGGTCGGGTTAGGGGAAACAAAGATATTTTTAACGATGGCCCCAGTGGGTCTAGAGCAAGGCCTTGGTGAGGGTTTGGGAAGCTGATGAATTCTTACAAAGAAGAGATGTTTTTTCCTTGATTTTAGGATAATTGACATATAAGCTCTACATAAAAAAATTCAAATGGGGGGCGCACAGGCCCTGGATCCGCCTTTGCTGGGGTAGGGTGGGGCCCAATGGGGGAGCGAAAGTTTTGGGTGGAGCCCAATGGGGGAGCGAAAGTTTTACATAGGAACATATAGAAAAAATATTTCTTCTCAAGAACAGAAAAACTAGTCATATTGATATGGAAGCATCCTCAGATATTGTAGATTCAAGTTTGTTCAAATGATGACCCCTGGGATGGGGAGGAGCCACAATGGGGGATCAAATTTTTACAAAGGAATATATGGCAAATTTTTTTTTTAATCTTTTCAAGTACAACAAAGCCATTTATTAAATTTACATGGAAGGTAGTTTAAAATTCAAGCCCCCCCTCCCCCCCATTAATCTTTTCAATACTGAACTGATTTGTGCTTTTGCCTAGCCAGTGTGCTCAGGTGAGCGATGTGGCCCATGGGCCTCTTGTTTTCGTTTTTTTTGGTTTGTTTGTTTGTTTGTTTTTTTTTTGTTTATTTTATTTTTTTTTTTGGAGGGGGAAGGGGGGGGGGGGGGTAATGAAGCAAGGTGCAATGCTCCTTGTTGTATTAAAATGTTTTAGCAGTAAATTGTCATCTGATGTTCCTGTTACTGTAAGCATTGCATTTATAAAAAGCTGTTTTACAGAAGACATCTGGACCTATGATATTAACATTTGTACATTCAATTGTTTCTTTTTTCTTATAGGAGCTTTCACAAATGGTTGAGTTAATGCAGTCCATATTAAGACAAACGAACATGAAGCTTTTCTTCGTCCCAGTTGGGGATGCCAGTGAGGTTTGACATATGTCTTATTGTTTTTAAAATTAAAATATAATGCTTTTCTGATTCATATAAAATTGTGTTTGTGACATTTTAATACTAATTTTTTAATGTAAAATGAATTTTCTTTGATGACAAATCCAATTTTAGGACATCAAAAGTTTGATGCAAAATATACCAGGTGTGAAAGTATTGGATGCATCTAATTTGAAAGGTGTGACAAGAACTGTTGTACACCATGTAAGTTGGATTTTTACAAGTCTCTGTATTTTTCAAGCTCTTATCATAAGTATAAAATTCAAGTTCTTTTCCCCCCTAAGAAATTTTAAAACCTGGTTTTTGAGTACTTAAGCCTGCTTTAAATGCTAAGGAAGTTGACAGCTGGTGAACTTTTACTCAGCTGAGATGAATCTTAGCAAAGCATTCTCTGTATTTACTATAAAAGCAGGTTTTTGAGGTCAACTTTAAATTTTTGTTTGATGCACTCTGACCCCGTTTTTCAGGTAGGGTTAAGGTAGATTGGTTAAGATTTTTTATGAATTATCAAACACATTGATAAATGTCATAAAAATTACAGACTTATTAATGTTTACAACGTATGCATTGGACAGCTAGACAGATTTGATATATAATTGCTGTAAAAACTATTATCCAAAAAGCACAGACAGATTTGATATTTATCACTGTAAAAATTTTCAATCTAAAAAGTTTGTTTGAGAAATGATAAATGTTAACTTTTAAAATGCTAAAGGCTACCTGTATATCCCTGGAAGCAAAAAAAAAAAAAACTAAATAAAATTTGAAGTTCTGGCAAAAATGATTGGGTAAAGGTGATTTTGACTAATTGGTCAGGGTACATCAAAATCGTTTTTTTCATTGTTGGCCCGAATCTATAAAAATGATTTTTGATAAGCAATGAGATTATATTATGTTTCATAATTATGCAATTTTATATAGTATAAATGTTAATAATGGTTTTTCTTTTCTTCTTCAAAGTATATAACTGGAAATGTAAAGGAGGAAGCTAGAGGGGGTGCAATCACTCGAGAAATTGTGAAGAATGTAGCCATGGCCAACTATTCAGAGCCAGAAGAATGGGAGATTGTAAGACTTAAGGACATACGCAACGCACCTTACCTACTGATAATTTTTCAAGATATTCTTAATTTAAGACTATAGTGCCATCAAATGTTCGTAGACAAAAAATCAGCATGCATTACCAGGGGTTTTGAAAAGATATCAGTTGATGAAAATTCTCTTATAATTTAAAGAAAAATACACAAAAATTACTAAACATATATTCTACATGTTTTGTTTATCCAAACTTGTTTTAGAAGAAGCGTACAACAGTATATATAGACATTAAAATGTAACACACAGTTCCTTTAAGTATTGGAACTCTTCAACTCCAGGGGAAAAGACAATAAAGTACAAACTACGTTGCGTATGTCCTTAATTGACCACCTCTTTGACTATGTTTGCTTTTTAAACTGACTTACTCGGAAATACATGGCTATTTAATTTATTTCCATTAGGACAGTTCAAGTTTGCATCAAAGACTGAAAATTTTGACTTAAATTCTTTGCATTCATTATACCATTTTTATTTTGGTTGCAGGATGAAGTAATGGAGCTTCTGAGGGAAGATCAAGAACATGATGCCAGAAGGCAAGACAGGCGGCATCAGCAAGGACAGATGGGGATGGGACGTGGGATGCTTGGAGGACGGGGTGGTTTCACACCAGATATGATGGGTGCTGGTCTATCCCCTGGAATGTCAGGAGGTGGTATACCAGGATTAGGTGGCAGTGGTATGCCAGGATTAGGTAGAAGTGGAATGTCTGCATTAGGTGGAGGCAGGATGTCAGGATTGGGTGGAGGCGGGATACCAGGATTAGGTGGCAGTGGTATGCCAGGATTAGGTGGAAATGGAATGTCTGCATTAGGTGGAGGCAGGATGCCAGGATTGGGTGGAGGCAGGATGCCAGGGTTAAGTGGGATGCCAGGATTAGGTGGAGGTGGGATGCCAGGATTAGGTGGGTGTGGTATGCCAGGATTAGGTGGGGGTAGTATGCCAGGACTAGGTGGAGGTGGGGTGCAAGGATTAGGTGGGGGTGGTATGCCAGGATTAGGTGGGGGTAGTATGCCAGGATTAGGTGGAGGTGGGATGCCAGGATTAGGTGGGGGTGGTATGCCAGGATTAGGTGGGGGGAGTATGCCAGGACTAGGTGGAGGTGGGGTGCCAGGATTAGGTGGAGGTGGGATGCCAGGATTAGGTGGAGGTGGGATGCCAGGAATGAGAGGAGGAGGAGGCCTGCCAAATAATACCAACCTCCAGTCTCTGGCAGGGCTAGGAATATCTCCAGGAAGTGGTCCAAGGCCTAACTTACCATTTCCTGGAAGTAATTCTAATCCAAGTTAACTTGGACAAATGGGTGTGCCTGACACTCATTAACAACTATTTCAAAATACTGCTTTTTGAATTTCTTATACTTGAATTTTAATCACTGGGCATGTACTTTATTAGGGCCCTGCTCTGCGGGCGCCCTATAGTGATCAGTCTGTATGTCCATCTGTCTGTCCGTCCATCCGTCTGTCCGTCCAAGATCTCTTGTCCGGAGCATATCTTCTCTCTTCTTGGCCCAATCTGGCTCATACTTCACCCACAGAGTGTCTTTGGGTAAAGGGTGTGCAGTGACCTTGAACCATGTTTCTGGGTCTAAGGTCAAGGTCATAGCAGAATTATATGAAAAATCCGGGTCCTGAACATATCTTCTCTCCTCTTTGTCCAATGTGACTAATACTTCACTCACAGAGTGCCACTCACAGAGTGCCACTGGTCAATGGATGTGCAGTGACCTTGAACGAAGTTTCTAGGTCAAGGGTCAAGGTCATAAATAGCCTCTCTGTTTAAAATCTTTGTTTGGTGCATGGTTTCTTTCTCTTAAGTCCAGTCAGCCTCAAACTTTACCAATTGACTTAAGGTACAGAACATTTGTGATTTTCCTTCCATATTTTGATATATATGCAACAGTTTTCATAGAGGATATGCAACATTTGTGATTTTTGGGCCGCTTTTTGATAGAGGGGGGTATGGAGCACTCGTGATTTTCATGCCATTTTTCATTATAACAAGGATGACATAGAAGCCCTTTAGACTCAAACAACACATCCCTTAATAGTACACAAGTGTTTCTCTTCAAAATAAACCCTTTTCAGCTACTTTACTTTTTCATGTTCGTTGCTGAAAGCGGGGCCCTTTGAGATGGCCACCATCTCAATGATATCTAGTATTACTTTAAATTGATTCACCAAACATGTTGGTACAGCCAATTAGATAACATGGAAATAAGACAATTATGTTTTCAAATAATAATTTACATGTGAAATCAAACATTTTAATTGCTCATTGATGTTATAATGTTGTTGAAGTGTGGTATTTTATCTAAAATCTATGTATAACATATTTATATATATATATATATTTAAGGACATACGCTACGTAGTTTGAACTTTATTGCCTTTTTCCCTGGAGTTGAAGAGTTCCAATAATTAAAGGAACTGTGTGCTACAGTTGAATGTATATATATGCTGTTGTACACTTCTTTTAAAACAAGTTTGGATAAACAAAACATCTAGAATATATGTTTAGTAATTTTTGTGCATTTTTCTTTAAATTATACAAACATTTTCATCAATTGATATCTTTTCAAAACCCCTGGTAATGCATGTTGATTTTTTGTCTATGAACGTCTGATGGCACTATAATCTTAAATTAAGATTATCTTGAAAAATTATCAGTAGGTAAGGTACGTTGCGTATGACCTTAATGTTTTGTACAATGCATGTATGACCAATGTCATTGCAGATATACATGTGTGTCGGTATTGTGTATTATAATTATTGTGAATTTATTGAGATTCTGTCTTTGAAAATATGTTATTAAAAGTTTTCATTTTTAATCATTTTAGCTACTTCTTTAAATTAGCTCCAACAAACACACAAACAAAGAAGGAAATATCGTTGTGAAATTGTCCATTGGCAAAAAAACAAAACAAACTATTATATAAATGAGTTTTCTTACCAATTTTGGGTGATTTACTATAGATAAATTTATGCTGAAAATCCCCCAGGATTCCGACACCCACCCACCCACCCACCCCCGGCTGGATCTGGCTATGGTCACTCATGTTCTACATAAATCTAAATCTCTCTCTCTCTCTCTCTCTCTCTCTCTCTCTCTCTCTCTCAAGATAGTGTACTATCTATCTATACACACTCCAAGGGAATACTCCAGAAAGCGAACCCAGCAGTCCCAAAGTCAGCTTTGTGGATTGCTTTAATTTGTTCATCCACAGGTTTGTGTCAGGTTCTGATTGACTAGAATGTCCCTCTCTCCGCTCAAGGAATTGGCTCTACCCATTAATTAAATTAACCTGGCGTCGCCCGCTTGGCACAGTGGTTGGAGTGTTTGCTCCAGAGTCGCGGATTACCGGTAAATCCCTCACTGCTCAAAGGCCGTAACATGCGCGGATCTAGAAGGGGGTCTGGAACCCCCCGCCCCTGGAATTTGCAATTATATAAAGAATATACTGAAGCAAATAAAAATGACTTTGACCCCCCCCCCCCCTAGAAAACGTGGACCCCATCATCACCACCACGAAATAGGCCTGGTTAATAAGGTTGGTGAAAGGAATATAGGTGGTTTTTTTTTATTTTTATTTTTTTTTTTTTGCTTGACAAGAAATATTTGACTCGGATGCACCCCCCTGGAAAAAAAATTCCCGGATCCGCGCCTGCATAAGTTCCGATTACAAGTCGATTTTCAGTCCTCCACCGGCAGGTGGTATTCACCTCGAAAACTAGGTTTGCTGTGACTGAATTCCTTAATTTTGCGTCCCCCTTCTGTGATTGCTATTTGACTCCTACTGTTACAGCTGTGTGGCAACGCACTTTGAAAAAATTATGCACTTTGAAAATTTTTTTCAAAGTGCGTTAATTTTGGGACAGAATCAACGCACTTTGAAGAATTTTTTCAAAGTGCGTTGAATTTGGGACCAAATCAACGCACTTTGAAAAAAATTTTCAAAGTGCGTTAAGAGTGTATATCATAATTTTTTACCATGTACACACTTAACGCACTTTGAAAAAATGTGTATAAAACAAAAATTTTGGACTTAAATTTTAGTAATAGACAACATTATTATCCCCTCGCAACGTTTGAGGGGATATAGTAACGCGATTATGTGTGTAAGTGTGTGTGTTAGTTTTTCCTGTGCGAAACGGAAGTGACGAAATTTGCATGGGGATCGCTATCATATTCAATATGAACATAAGTAGACTGATTAAAATAAAAGATTAGCCACAATACTCATTTGACTGGATCTTTTACAAGGCCACCGCAAAGCGAAGCATTCCTTCCCAAAAAGCATATTCTATAAATCAAGGCAGCATTTATATATATATAGAGAGAGAGAGAGAGAATTTTCATGGTAGAGAAAAATCATAATTGCTCCTTTTTTCCATTTAAGTCATATCCACCGAACTTATTACAGACTGAATTAAAATAAAAAAGGAAAGAAATTATGCTATTAAACAATCACTTCTAAAAGACCAATTTTCCTTTTATAAAATTTACGAGAATTGTTGGAAAGAAAACAACCCCTAAAAATCTTTAAAACGTCTATAACTCAGATCCTGAAGTGACCTCATCACAGCAAAAGTATTAAACCAGGTTCAAATAATTATTTATCATACCTAAAATTTGCAAGAATATTGACCAAGCCGTGCACATTTTTTTTTTTCAAAGTGCGTTAATATGGTCGATATTAACGCACTTTGAAAAAAAAAATTATATTTTTCAAAGTGCTTTAACGTGGTCCCAAAATTAACGCACTTTGAAATTTTTTTTCAAAGTGCGTAATTTTTCGAAGTGCGTTGTAACACAGCTGATAATATTAGGATCCCCGTAAGGGTGAACTTTTTTATTATAGTCGCCTGAAATCGGGAAATTTTGATATGTTGAAAAAGATAGGATTGTGCTTTTTTGAGTTGATGAGGAAAAGTATGCGGGGCTAATTAATATCCACAAATATTGTATGCGAGAATAAATAAAACATCACATATATCAGTCAAATGAAATGTTTAAGAAAAAAACTACATCAATGGACCAAAAGCAGCTGTACTTTTAAAATTATTTAAATATTATTTTACTTGTATTGTATCTTTATATGTTCCTAGAGATAGTTGCAAGGTTGAATTTTGAAATTATATGTCTGTCCTTTATAAATAAAAATACTAGTAATATTCTGTACAATATTTTGTCCTGTTATTCGTTCTTCTTACTATCAATCTTAAACACTGAATAATGTACTTATAATGATCAGTAAGAATCCCCCGGCGTCTTGTTATTAATAAATTACTGCATTTAGTAATTGTTCTCCCTTAATAGCAGGATTCATATAAAAAATCTCTTTCTCAAAAATCAACACCACAGATTTATATAATAATATACTACATGAGGGGGAAATATAGAAGAAAGAAAATCCTAAAGAAAATTAAGCAGAAAGAGCCACAATCATATACAAGCAACTCCGTACACAAGAGAATCAGATTTATTCAAATCATAACACTGACCTGGAGCTAGATACCAGGTTTGGAAAATATAGGGACATCTTTGAAAAACCATAATATCTTCTGAAGATCTGGAGGGCAAAATTGATTCAAATTTATGCGCGGATGTAGAAGGGGAAGGGAAGTTCGGAACCCCACCTCTCAGAATAATTAAACGTTATTAAATTTCGATGTAAAAATAAGGAAAACATTACTTGGACCCCCGTAGGAAACACGGACCCCTCTTAAAATGGAAAGAAAAGTCGTGTATCTGAAGAAAATTGACTTAAGCAAAGTGTCCACCCATCCCCACCCCCACCCCCCCTCCCCGAAATAGATTTTTCAGGAATGGACAACTTGTTACGTTTTGTTTCCCCTCATTTGCTTGTCAAAAAAAAATCCCCAGTCTGACATTTGTTATAGAATTGATGTAACCCCCCTCCCCCCAAAAAAATCCTGCTAATATTAATAATCAATCATGCTCGTGTCACCTAGATTCAAGTTGGTGAAAATCATGATCCCTTGAGTTAGTACTAGTGCTGGTCCTCAAGAGGAGTTTAAAGTTTTAAGTATTATTGTGTAGGAAAAAATTATTCAAAAGTCTTCTCAAAACGGTAGGGTCGCATTATTATAATAGTTAAATATATTGATAAGCAAGCATCGTTATGTAATGTAGATCACAGGCACTTATGGACAGGTCCATCCTCGCAGATAAACATAATAGGGTACATGCGCGGATCTAGAGGGGGTGGAGGATGGGGTCTAGACCCCTCCCCTCCCCAGAATTTACAGAGTTATTAAATCGCACTACGAAAGCCCTTTGAGCTCATTTTTGTAGGTTAAAAAAAAAATCTCGTTATAACGCGTAATTTTTGCTTGATTTTACCTACATTTTTCAGATGAATGACCAGGTTGAAGTTTTTGGAGCAGGTGTTTAACCAAGAAACTATATGGCCTACCTGAAACTAACTTGATTGGATGATGCATCAAGCGATGATCATTTCCAGACTTGCTTCAGAGGTTGGACTTGACTAACATTTTCCAGATATTTATGAGTGACCAAATTTAAGTTTTTGGAGCAGGTCCACTCTCAAGCAACTGTGAGGTCTACCTGGAGCAAACTTTGACAGATGATGCATCTAGGGATGTACACTTCCAATCTTGATAGACCTCATTTTCAGAATGAGTGACCTAGTTAAGGGTATTGGAGCAGGTTCATTCCAGTCGAATTTTAAGACCTTCAAACTTGTATATATTGATGATACAACTCGGGATGAATGCTATTAGACTTACTCTAGATACTGGATCGACCTATGCTTTCCGGATAAGTAACCAGCTGGTTAAAGTTTTTTTTTTTTTGAACAGGTCCATTAATTCCCAATTGCAAGTATCGATAAGGCTTACCCGGACCAAACATGCACGGATGATGCATCAAGGGGTGCACACTAATAGACTTGCTTTAAATGCTAGATGTGACATGCATTTATGGATGAGTGGCCAGTTTAAAATTTTTACTATTCCCAAGTAACTGCAAGCTCTATCTGGACCAAAATTGCATAAAATTAAGTTTCATGTAAGGATGGAATGCACACTACTAGATTATTAGTTTATAGTGTGGGACTTTGCCTACTCAAATATAACTGTAACATTTGTTGAGTTGAGCTTTGTAATTTTTGATTACCTATATTACTGCTGTCAATCGGGATTGGTTTAAGTTTAAAAAAATGTATTTTTCTTAAATCTCGCAGTTTTATTTCAATTTTCTTTTCTCAAATATAATTGTCTAAGGCCAAAATAAAGAATACCTTTGTTTCCCCTGACGCGACCGACCCACTTAAATCGTGCCGACTAAAAAGGTTTTTTTAATAAGATTATTCAAATATTTTTTTTTATTGTTTATCAACTTTATA